AGTGCAAGAGAGGAGGTTGCACACTATCCCATTGCCTTTGGACAACCTAAGACACGTGCTTGCTTTTCTGTATTTTGAAACTTAATATTGCTCTTCAACAGGGATTTTTAGGTCCAAAACCTATCACCATTCTACAAGGCATGAAAGCCACTAAGAGCAGAATCACTGCAGTGTAGACAACCATTTCCTTCACAGCCATACACTTCTTTCTCATGATGGCTCTTCATAGGAAGTGGGAGATGGACCTGAGTCAGAGCCTGTTGGCTGTGAGCCTGCAACCACATGCTGCAGACACCAAAGCAGAGCCTATGGGCCATGATCCTTATTGTGACCTATGGCCTTTAGTAGGAGGCTCTGATAGTGCACCAGTCACAGAGGAAGGACTCCATCTACCCAACCCTATGCAGAGATCGTTGTTTCTGGAAGGCTGGTTTTTGAGAAAGAGCATTTGATATTCTGAGTCTATGCCTGGCTGCTGTGGTTACAGTACCCTTGTGCATTAACACCCCACCACTCAAGCTAAAAGAGGATTCAGTATGCTACTGTCTAAACTAAAGAATGATTTGCTGCAGTAGTAGGAAAGACAGGAATCCAGATCTTGTTACAGTAGTGTTACTGGAACAGAGTCTTATTTTCACAGCTGAACTGCAAGGCCATTAGAAAGCTCCTTGGCTTAAACTAGAGCTACGCTCCCTGGAGAAACGAGCCACACAGAATACGATGCGACCAAAAGCCAAGCCCTCTGATCTTCTCATTTTACTCCAAGAGAGGAAAGCCACTTTGATACTGGAACCACTTGTGCAACAACTCTCAAGTACACCGAGTGGCTGTTGTAATAGTTTTGTTTATTCCCCCATTTTTATTAAATTACTAGCTTTGCTCCTATTTGGGTAACAGCAGTATTTACAGGACTTGCTAAGAGTCATATAATCAACTTTGGACTAATTTAACTTTCTTGATGGTATGCCAATCCTGCTCTGCTGCTAAGCGCCTCAACACCTCAGAGAGTCCCATCTCATTACAGGGACAGGCTGAGAGAACTAAATAAAGCATATCTAGTTTGGGGGAAAGATAATGGGGGGAAGGGGGAAATGGGACATGATATCAGTTTTCAAATATCTGACAGTCTGCCACAGAAAAGAGGGAGAACAACTATTCTCTCTTGCCACGGATTAAAGCTCAGAAAACACTTCCTGGCTGATAGGATCATGGAACAAGCTGCCCAAGGAAGTAGTAGAATCTCCTCATTTATGGATTTATTAAATGTACATGCTGCTCTCCCCACAAAAGGTTAGCGGCAGCTTACAATATAACACAATATAAATTATAAAAACAGTTCAAATATTCAAACTGAACGGTGTATAATAAACAACCAACTCCCCAAACAGTGCTCTAAAACTTAACCCTGCCTATTAAACGTCTGTCCGAATAAAAGGTCTTACAGAACTTCCTAAGGATGACCAGGCTCAAGGTATGAAAGGCTGCAAGAGGAGGGAAGTCCGGAGCTGAGGAATGACTGCTGAGAATGACTTCCCATGGGTTTTCACCAAACGAACTTCCTGCACAGATTTTACTTGCAGGAGGTTGCTCTGAGCTCACTTTAGGGACTGCGATGTAACACAAGTTGGTAGACCTAGCTCACGCAGGACTTTATAGGTCAAATCCAGCACCTCAAATAGCTCATGGAAGGTTACTGGAATCCAGTGCAGACTCCAGAGCATTAAAGTAATCCTTTGCTGGACATTTTCATAAAGAAGCTGCAAACAGGCGCGCTCTTGAAGGGCATGCCAGAGTTCGCATGCCAGTTTGCACAGGGAGGAGAGCAGCAGGAGTCTGAACTCTACGCGTCGGCGGCTTTGGACAGAGACTTCAGAGTCCTCAGGTAAGTGCACGTAAGGGAGTCTTAATTGGGGTGGTGACTTGGAGCGCAGCCAGGGACCCTGCCCCAATGCTGCCTCCCACCCGGGGCTCTTCTGAGGCCTGCACCCAGCCAGAGCCTTTGGGTGGGTTGGTGGCACCCGGGCCCCCTGCCTGCAGGGGTTGCCTGGTGGGTCCTCGAGGGCCTGGGGGTAGCGGGAGGGCCGAGAGTCCCCTATATGTGTGCCCTGCTTGAGGTCCTGGAGGGGCAGGTGAGGGAACTCCAGGCAGAGGTGAGCAGGCTGCAGGGGATCAGGGCCACAGAGGATGAGATTGATGGTTACTTTCATTCTCTGCAGGACAAGACGCCTAGCGGAGAAGCAGCAAGGGAATGCCCTGAAGCAGATGCAGGAGAGTGGAGGATGGTCAGCTCCCGAGCCAGACCTCTCACCACAGAGACAGCTCCACCGGTGCAGTTGGTGAGCAAATATGAGGCCCTGGCTGCATCGGAGGAGTGTGCGGTGGAGGAAAGCGCACTGGAGGAGCATGCAGCCATCACCGAGTGAGCCAAGGGCCAGCCAGGTAAGGGCCAGCCAAAAGACGAGACACGGTGTCATTGTGATGGGCAACTCCCTGCTGAGAGGAGCAGAGGGACCCATCTGTCGCCTGGATCCCACGGCGCACGAGGTCTGCTGCCTGCCCAGAGCCAAGATCAGGGATGTCACGACGAGGATCCCTGACCTCATCCGACCCTCCAACAACTATCCCATGGTCCTCATCCATGTGGGAACAAATGAAGCGGCCAGGAGTGGTCCAGACCATATCATGAGTGACTACAGGGCTCTGGGGACAAGGCTTAGGAAGACGGGGGCACAGCTGGTCTTCTTGTCAATCCTCCCAGTCAGCAGTCGCAGTAGGCATCATGTCACCTGTGTCAGAGAAGTCAACTCTCAGCTCCAGAGTTGGTGCCATTGTGTGGGTTTGGGCTTTCTGGACCATGATCCGCACTTCTGTGCAAGAGACTTCCTGGGATGCGATGGGCTTCATCTCTCCGTAAAAAGTAAGAGTCTCTTTTCTTACAGGTTGGGTGATCTCCTACGTCAGCCTTTAAACTAGGTTCGACGGGGGATGAGGAGGCAGGAGATGGAGAATCTAGGACCTGCAAACTATGAGACATGCAACAGTACATCCCAGGTAAGTACTAAGGGGTCCATTGGACATCAGAACAGTGGGGCACCAAAGGCACCATTCAGAGGTCTCAAGTGCCTCTGTACTAATGCTAGGAGCATGGGGAACAAGCAGGAAGAACTCGCACTCCTGCTTGCAGACAATAACTTTGATTTAGTGGGGCCAATGGAAACCTGGTGGGACCTTACCCATGACTGGGAGATGCACATTGAGGGCTACAGGTTGCACAGAAGGGACAGAGTAGGGAGGAAAGGAGGTAGGGAGGTTGCTCTCTATGTAAAGGAGCATTATACATCTACCCTAATCAAAATGGGATCAGAGGAGGAGAAAGTTGAGGCATTGTGGGTTAGGATACATGGGGTTGAGGGGAAAGGGACTTGGTGGTGGGGGTCTGCTACAGATCACCAGATCAAGAGGAAGAGCTAGACTTGGAATCTCTGAGGTAGCTCTCAGAGGCCGTATGGTCTAGGAACGTGGTTGTCATGGGGGACCTAAACGACCCGGACATCTGCTGGGAGCAGCCGCCAGCCAAATCCAATCGTTCACATAGGTTCTTAACCTGCATGCAGGACCTTCACCTAACGCAGGAGATATACGGTCTCACTAGGGGGAATGCCTTACTAGACTTGATGTTGGCTACGGAGGATGACCTGGTAGGGGAATTACAGATTTTGTGATCTTGTAGCCACCTACAAATTCATTGTTGGGGGGGCACAGCAAGGGATCGGAGATGTTCTGTTCATCAGGACACCTCTTGGGGCAACAAGGAACAATGGTTACAAACTGACAGAGAGCACATTTAGGCTAGATATGAGGAAGAACACTTCTTCATGGTGAGGGTGGCCAAAATTTGGAATGGGTTTTAAGGGAGGTGGTGCTCTCCCCTACCTCGGGGGTCTTTAAGAGAAGGCTGGATAGGCATCTGGCTGGGGTCGTCCGACCCCGGCACTATTTCCTGCCCAGGCGGGGGGTCGGACTCAATGATCTGCTGAGGTTCCTTCTGACCCTAGCATCTATGAAATAATTAAGGGAATCAAGAGATTGACCCTTGTAACTGGATCAGCGTTCAGCGACACTAGTAGTTTTGGAGGCACCTGTGCATGACACTCAGCCATTGAGATCAGAACCAAAAATTCATATCAGAAAAGGAAAGTTAAGGTGAGTTCTTACACTGGCGAGACATCTGAGGTAATAAAAGAGGCATAATGGTACAGACTGGGAGTGCAACCGCATAAAACCTTTTCTTTTGCCTTGACAAATATTTCTCTCGACACTCATGCTTTTTGTTTATCAGGCTTGGCATTAAACACTGCGTCTCTGAATATACTGTTATTCAAAATAATTCCTAGTCAGCCATGGCAGACTTGCAATGCACTGCAGTAAAGAAATAGCAAGAAAAATGTACACACGGTCAGTTATTTGCTGTTAGTATGACTTATCCGGTTATGATATTCATAAAAGAAACCTCTAATTTTGTTTTTAAATGCCTGGATTAATTTAAACCCAACCCAATTATACATACCTTCTTCTACAGAATCAGCATGACTTAAGCAAACACTGGCACAGTGTGCTAATTAATAGAAAAACAAAACAAAACCCAGAACCGCCCAAAGCAGCTTTCCACTGCAGATCTTCACTTGTTCATTTGTGTTTTCATAAGGTTTGACTCTAATTAGTAACATTACAAAAACTGACTCATTCTGAGCTTTTAGGATCAGCTGGAAAGAAAGCACTGTGCCATAAAAACAAAAAGGAGAACACAGCACATCTCTTGCATTTCCCAAAATCTTTGCGGGCCTGCCCAGTCACTTCCAGCAAAGGAGGCAAAAATAAAAGTTACTAACAAAAAACCTGCACCTTCATACTGAGTGCAAGGTGCAGAGGAACAGATCTTACAGACAAGCAGGTTGCAAGGTATGGAAAGGCAAGGCAGGAACTGAGAAAATCATCCTTACTCTGTCAAAAGCTGATGCAACTTCTGATAGCCCCTCTCCAAGGCCAGAGTCACAGGTGTAGCTCCTTCATTGTTGCGGATGCAGAGAGCTCCTCTTCCACCTGGCTGCTGTAACAGAAACCATGTCAACCGCTGCAGACCTAGCCTCACTGAAAAATGCAACAGTGTCTCCCGGGGGATATTCTCTGTAAAGAAAGAAAGAAGAAAAAAAGAAAAATGGTATTCGTAGAGTGCAGGTTAGATGAACATCGTTTTCCCCACGGCCCAGTTACTGGAGTCGAGCCACACACAAAATACAGTACAATGGCTGGCATAAAATTAAAAGTTGCTCTGAGCCAAAAAGTCAGGCAACCTAAACACTGAAGCACCTGGAAAAACATGCTGTGCAAAGGCTGGCTGCTAGAGCTCAGGAAAGCTGGGTGCCTCAAAGCAAGGGGATCGCCGCAGGAATCTTAAGGAAAGCTGGGACCACTCCTGACCTCTTAACAACAGACCTCATGCCCAAGCCAATGTGAAAAGGCCAATTTCCTAAATGGGCTTAAAATCTACGGAGTTGAAATACTTCTCAAGAGGAGCTTCAAGATGTACATTCAAGTATATATGTAAGCATTGTCCTCCCACAGAAACCTGTATGAAATTTTTGGCGTTGCCAGATGCGATTCCTGCCTAGGCACAGGAAAAAATGCTAAATGTAAGGTACAAATCTAGAGCAGATGTAAAGGAAAACAGTCCACACTTTCTCCTGGGAAGGAAGAAACAGGGGTTTTTCCTTTACAATTTGATTACGCCTTAGAACCGCTTTTTTATGATGCACACTTCAGCACGCACAGCAGCTGTATAACTGAGTAGCAGCATTTGTAAGTTGGGTGCGTTCCCTGCCACCACCTTTTATGTTTAATAAGCATGGCCTTATAGTTTGGTAAAACTCACTTTGAGCATAAGCTTTCATCTCTGAAAAATAACCCTTATTCCAAGAGGTGAAGCCCTAGAACTTTGCTCTGAACAGCAATCTCCCAAAATGAGCTCCAGATGCAAGGGCTGAAATACAGTATTTGCAAATCAAAGCATGTGCAACTCCTTGTACCAAGGGCACAGCCATCTGGATTTCTAAAACCCTCAGAATAGTTTAAAAAGTAAAGATTTGTTCTTAAAATTAAGACAGCATTTCAGCACAGAGCGGGGCAGTTTAGAAAGGCACCACTGAGACTGTATTAAACCAAGCCAATGAACAAATCTGGTGGAATACCCCGAGAACTACAGGAATGATTTATATATTTATTAATTTAGTCGACAACCCAGCCCATAGCGCAGGTTTAAAATGTAAGTGCATAACGCTTTCTGAAGTTGAATTAGGTTTCTGGGGGTTTTTTTCAAGCGTCTTTTAGAAGGATGCCACAGTACAAATCAGTACTGACAGCTATATCTACCTTAACTCCTTTGCTCATCCGGATTTTTATTTCTTCTTTAAGGGACATCATTAAGGTCTCAAGTGTAAAAACAACACAGGGATTTTTATACTTTTTGCCATGTGGTTTTTCCTGAGCTTCTTGGATCAGTTTCTGCCCAGCTTAATCTATATTCAAGAGCCAACAGCTTCCTGGCAGAATCTTCCCATAGAAACCCGAATTAGGGATTTGGCAATATACTGCTCTTCCCATCTCAGCCTCTTTATTCGAGTAAAGCAGAAATCTGGTCTCTGGAGTAGCTGGGCACAGGGTTGCAGCAGAACAGAGAAAGGATATCACTGAGTTTGCTCAGAGGCAACGTTTACAGCCTTGGGGGGAGAGATGACAAAAGTGCTGGTATCAAGCATGGCATTGTATAAGGAGACAAGGCAGCTAATCAAGGGATCTTACTGACTTCCAGAAGGGAAAAAAACCACAGAAAGAAAGGTGGTGGACTCCAGAGAGCAAAGGAAAGAAGAGCCATGGAGACATCAGAGAAAGTATGTGGAGGTGGGACCCGCACAAAGTGAAACAGTATGCTCACAATCTGTACAAAAGCTATGCAACCACTAGCTGTTTTGGTGCATTGGCTTGCACAGTTAAGAAGACACGCCCCTCCTATCACAGATGAGACTACATCAGTATGAACATCTGTATGGCTTACTCCCGTCTGCAGTGGGATGCAACTCATGCTCGTATGACTGCACCCTTGCTAAGGGGGCTGTACTGATATCGCCATTTCATGCGAAGGGAGAAATATAAGTCAGTTTCTTGACTAAAACAGACCGGGCTGGGGCAAAACTACATAGAACTAGGCTGAAAAAGGAAAGGAAAGGTTCCAGGATGCAGGTGGCTTTCCCTTCTGTGAGCTCAACATCTTCCATCTGATTTGTGAACAAACAGGTGAGCCCATTTTACCTTCTGCTCCTCCTTACCTAATCTGGGCTAAGGAAGAGGATTCGTTGTCAAACACATACACAAACTGTTATCTTATTTCATAGACATTAGGGCTGGAAGGGACCTCGGAAGATCGAGTTCAGCCCTTTGCCCCAGGGGCGGGAAGTCAGCAGGGATCACAGGATCCCAGCAAGATAAACATCCAAATGTCTCTTGAAGGCGTTCAAAGTAGGTGCTTGAACCACCTCCGGTGGCAGTCTATTCCAGACCTTGGGGGCTCGGACAGTGAAAGTAAAGAAGTCCTTCCTTATGTCCAGCCTGAAACGGTCATGGAGGAGTTTGTGACCATTCGATCTTGTCATCCCTTGGGGTGCTCTGGTGAACAGACGTTCCCCCAGATCCTGGTGAGCACCCCAATAAACTTATAGGCAGCTACCAGATCACCCCTGAGCCTGCTTCTGCCAGACAAGCCTCTAAACACATCCCATCATTGAACAGAATCCCAGGCTTCCTAGTACGGAGTTCATTGCAAGAATAATCATGATAACCATGTTCACTGTGCTGTGGCTTTATTTAACCCCTGCAGCCACCACCTGCTATAGGACTGACAAGCAACAATACCCTGAATTGAGTGTCTTGCCGACTGACTGCTTTTAGGTTTTCTACACAATGGATTTTCGAGAGTCCTAAATTGCTTTAGGAGCCCAAGTCCCACTGTTAAAAAGTGATATAAGCTCCTTGTGTTCCTAAATCTCCTCAAATGTTTACCCATTTGTTTTAAACAATGCTAACTACCTTCAGGGCAGCCAGACACGAACTTGACTTCAAAATGCTTCATTCCCAGCATTTGGGTGCTGTGTTTAGATGCAGAAGTCTAATAAACTAGTGAATTCAGTGGCAGACAAGGTTCTCTGGGTAAATCTGATCTCTTTTATTAAACCAACTCCAATAGTTGGAAAAATTCTTCTTTGCAAGCTTTTGGGTACAAATGCCTTTAGTCAGGCTTCTGTACCCAAAAGTTTGCAAAGAAGAATTTTTCCAACTACTTGAGTTGGTCTAATAAAAAATATCAGATTTACCCAGAACACCTTATCTGCCTATGTCCTTAGACCAACACGGTTATAACCTATTCCCCTGAATTCAGTGGCGCACTAATGCCTTTGAGTATCAATGGCAGAAAGGGCAAACTTCTACTGACATGCTGCTGACAGTGAGTACATTAAGGCTACAAATTCACTGCCCAGTCCCAAGCCTTCAGGTCTGACAAACGTGTGAACTGGCACGAGGCCATGCTAACAGATGGGCACAAGACACAGCATCCAAGAGACAAAAGTAAAATACACTTAACAACTGTGGGTGCTCCGGGCAAGGATCTTAGCAGTGGCAGTGTATATAAAACTTATATGGTCTGAGTTAGTTAAAAGGAGTGTGACATCTGTGTGCTGGATTAATTTCTAAAATAAAAAAGCATCTGTCACTGGTATGGCTGTTCAAAGCAAATATACAGGCTGTTTTCACCAGGCCTTGGAAGTAAAGGGAAAAGGAAGGACAGATGGGAGAAAGGGAAAGAAAAAGAGATGAAGTTACTTCTACCTCCCCTTTGTCTATTAACACACAAATCTTAGGGCTCTGGACATCAGGAATTTAGGCAGACTTTTGTCTGAACAGGTTGTCATAATACAGAATATATCTGCCCTAAGCATGGAGGAGTTAAGAAAACCTTTAACATGAAATAGCTTTTCCTTCCCATTTTAAATGGTTGAAAGCAGAAGGATCTGTAGAATCACAATAGTCCTTCGAGTAACACACAGCTCTTTGCAATTAGAGAATTATGGAAATAAAGTACATGTAATACTGGCAAGATCATGGCTGTTTTGTTCCTTCCTTGTCTCCTAGTAATAAGCCAGGGTTGAAACATATGATTATTGTCCCATAATGGCAGAGCACTTTGATCTAGCTGGCAGGGCATGCAAAAAATTATTTTTATTTTTTTGCAGCAGTGGCACATGAATAGCCAGTTTATATGGATAAACGGGGACAAACATTTCTTCAAATTGACTATGCAAACTGACAAGACTAAAGTCTAAGGCAGTGGGAGGGCAACCTTTTTGGTAGGCATGCCACAAATTAGCCCTGCTCCCTCTCCCAGCGCCACTCCAATCCCTTTCCCTTACCTGATCTGCTGTACTGCTTTCTGCTCTTTGCCCTGTGTTCCCTGCCTGACCAGATGCTCTGCTTTTTGCTCCCTGCCCTATTTGCCTCTGTGCTTGCTGTCCTCTCCCCAATCTGCCCAGTGCCACACACATAGGCTGCCCATGCCATTTGTGGCATCCATGCTGGAGGCTGCCCACCCCAGGTTTAAGGGGCTGCTAACCAGAAACAGATCACTCCTGAGGCACAAAATGATCGAGTGCAACAGAACTGAACAGGGTTGCTGGTTGTAGCCATGTTGGTGTAAGGACATAGGCAGGCAAGGTTTTTTGGGTAGATGTAGTATCTTATTAGACAAACTAAATAGTTGGAAAAACGTTATTTGCAAGCTTTCGGGCACAAATATCTTTCTTTAGGCATTGGGAGACTCTGTTCAGTTCTGTTATAACAAGCTGTCCTCTGAGCCAAGGCCTTCATTTTGGTGACTTTGATTAAAGCAAGACTTGAAAAAAAAAAAACCCAAAAAACATTTTTCCTCATTTGGAGCTTCCCTTTATAAATGTGTTTTCCTCCCCCCTGTCCTGTCCTGTCCTACGTGTCCTGAGATAACTCATAATGGAAGAGCCAGGCGCTGGGATGAATAGTTTGGAATATTTGTTGCTGGCTTTCCCGTGACAGTGTTGGCCAGTTCC